ACACAGACATGCACACACACACTGCATGTGCAGCCAGGCCCCTCACATACAAACCCTGCACACACCCAGACAAAACACACACCTTACACACCCTCCCTGTACGTTACACACACACACACACACACACACACACACACACACTGCGCGCGCACACCCGCCCCTCACACACCCCCCCCGCACACACACACACATAACACACACTCACTCACACACACACGCACAACACGTGTACCCAGGCCCCTTACACACCCTCCCTGTACACACCCACACAGACATACACACACACACACACACTGCATGTGCAGCCAGGCCCCTCACATACAAACCCTGCACACACCCAGACAAAACACACACTCACTCACACACACACGCCCAACACGTGTACCCAGGCCCCTTACACACCCTCCCTGTACACACCCACACAGACATACACACACACACACTACACGTGCAGCCAGGCCCCTCACACACACACCCTTCCCACACTGACACACACACTCGCTGGCAACCCTGCAGCAGTAGCTGTGGTGTTTGGGAGGGAGGGAGCTGGCCCAGTGCAGACGGGGCCCAGGGGCTCTCACCTCCATGGAGCTGGTTGGGGTCACCGCAGGGGGCTGTGGGGACAGGGGCCGACCATGCCCAAACCCCGCCGCTATTGCTGCAGTGAAGACACAGGCTCAAACCCATGCCCCCACCTGCCCAGCTACGCACCACCGTGGCGATTCCCTACATGCCCTCTCATGCAATCTGTGACCACATCAGCGCAGGCATCCCCCCGTGCCCCCGACGTTTTGACGCTTCCTTCCCACCTGAGGGGTATGAGCAGAGGCGGCCCAGAGTCGGGCTGCAGGCACAGCCCTGCCCACAGCCTCCCCCCTGCTCCCCACCACGCCAGGTGCCTGTCAGAGCCAGGAGCTGTGGTTAGCGCGCAGGTTTCACCCAACTTTCCCTCCACATGAGATCACGGCGGAGCGGAAGCAGGTGGTCAAAGCACATGACTGGACCCAGGACTCCTGGGTTCTGTTCCCAACTCTGCCGCTGAATCACTGGGCACGGCCTTACTCTGTGCCTTGGTTCCCCCCCCTGCCCTGTGGGGATTTGGAGCTAGACAAGAATGAATCCAGCCTCCCTCCCCCTCCCTGGGATGCAGGGGGCGAGGAACAGGAAGGTGACTGGTTTCGCAGACGCAGAATGCGACCGTGGCCAAGCCAGGAGGAGAACCCAGGAGTCCTGACACTCAGCCCTGCCCCCGCTGCTCTAATAACCAGACACTGCTCCCCTCCCAGAGCTGAGAATAGAAGCCAGGAGTCCTGACACCCAGCCCCTCCCTGTTCTACCCTCCCAGTTAGGAAATTGCATCTTATTGCAACTGTAGCTGCTAGCCACTGGATCTTACAGATTCAGCGATTCGGGACCGTTTGGATCCGCTAATCTGCCCCCAGCTCATTCCGAGAGCCGATCCCTTAAAAGAACATGCCCCGGCCTGGTTTTAAAAGGCGGCTTCCTTTGGCAGCGAGGCGGAGAGAAGCCTCCAGCCCTCAGCCCTCGCTGCAGCGTCTCAGTACCAGACCCACAGCTCAGCTCCCTCTCAGCCTTCTCTCCCATTCAGCCCCTCATCAAAAGCCATCTTTGCCAGCCCCTGGATCAGTGTATTGAACTCTCTCCACCCCGTGCAGCGTGGCGCCCGGCACTGGCCGCAGGATTCCAGTAGCCGGGCGCGGAGGTGCGAGCACGTCCCTACGTCTCCCTACCAGTCCCCTTCGACACCCCGGACCGCACTGACCCTTTTTGCCATGGCGTCGTGCTGGGAGCTCACACTGGAGTGATTATCTACAGACAGAGCCCCCGGCCTGGAGGCATTCACCTGGGCGCCCGGCGCTCACCTTGCCTGGCATTCGCCTGGGTTATAGGGCGTGTGGTTGCACTGGGAGCATTTAACCAGGCCACGACAGCAGCCCATCAGGCCCAGTATTGACTCCCCCGCAAAGCTCTCGCCGCACCAGTTTGGCTCACTGCTAGGCCCTCAGCTGCAGAGTGACACTTCCTCGTTACAACCAGCCGGCCGCTGGGGCTGATCCTGCTGCCATGGGGACCAAACTTCCCGGTGGGGATGGAAGGGGAGAGGGGTCTAGGGATGGAAGGGGAGAGGGGTCTAGTGGATAGAGCGAGGGGCTGGGACTCAGGTCTCCTGGGTTCCTTCCCCAGTTTGGGGAGGAGAGTGGGGTGTAGGGAGTTAGAGCTGAGAGTCAGGACTCCTGGGTTCTCCTCCTAGCTCTGGGAGGGGAGTGGGGTGTAGGGAGTTAGAGCTGGGAGTCAGGACTCCTGGGTTCCATCCCTGGCTCTGGGTGGGGGTGGGGTCCAATCGGTTAGAGCTGGGGAGGAGTGGGGGGGAAGTTGGGAGCCAGGGCTCTTGTAAGTCTACAAATCGGAAATAACAAAAACTCAGTGACAAACAACAACTTCGATGCTCCAGCCCACAGCGTGACAGGAGGCTAGCAACGCCCTGGGAAAGGGCCCCTGGCTTCAAGGGAACAAATTTCCAACCCTGCTGAGAGCCCCCTGGCCCAACCCACCGGGCACTGAACCGGACACGACCAGAGCTAAAAGACAAGATGCTCCAGAGGGAGCGAAAAACCCAAAACTCACTGGTTAGAGGCTGCAACAACTCATCTGCGGTTCAGGCAGCGGGCGGGGAGTCTGATATCACACGCCCCAGTGGGGTACAACACCCAAACTGCACCCTAGGGCATGACACAAAGGCCCAGACGTCCACATGAGCGTGCACCAACGTGGGACATTGTCCGCATTTTTCCATGAAAGAATAAAGGTTTGGATTGACTCTCCCTGGTTTTTAAGCCTCTGGGCCGATCCACACACAGGCGCGGCAGCAAAAGGGGCGAATTCAAAGCGACTCTGCCGTTTCGGGGTGTGGGTGCTCCCCTTCAGAATCAGAGCACTAAAGCTGGTGGAGTGAAAGGCAGTTTGTTCCTGACCTGAGCTCGGGTCGGTCTGGGTACAGGCCTTCCCACCCAGACTAGCCTGGAAATAATGGAACTGCTTTGAATTTACACTAGACCAGATCAGAATGAGCATCACAGATTTCCCCTCCTGAGGCCGGAGGTCTCTGGGGTGTGAATTGACTCAGCTGGGAACCGAAGGCTGAGAAACCTGAAATTTAACACAGAACGCTTTTCTCCACCGCGTTCATTGGGTGTTGGAGTTTCATAGGGGCGAAAAGACAGCTAAGGGTTTTAAACGAGCGAATACAAATCTCTCCCCGCTCAGCATTTGCAGTCAGTGTCTGAGCCCATCTGTCCACCAGCTCCCTAGTCTGCCTTAGCGTTTCCCAGGGGAGAAAAACATTGACCTTTCTAACATGAAAACGAACAGCAAGGCCAGTTCTGCCTCTCACAGCCCCTCCCCAGATCTTGCACATTCAATATCAAGCTAAAAGCCCGTTGCTGGTCACCTTTCTATGGGCCTCACAGCATGGCAGTGCTGGGGGTGGGGGGTGGGGTCAAAGCCTTTGGGTCACACAGGTTCTTGGAGGAGGTTCTGTATCCTGATTGCATGGGGATCTGTCTGCCCTGGGACCTCCCAGCGTCGTGCGCCGGACCCGGGTAAGACAGGGCTTGGCACAGCAGTGCACACCCATGTGCAAAGCCCGCTTTGCACTAGTGCAATGCCTGCACGCTGAGAGTTTTCCCTGGTGCAGCGACATGAATGGACAGAGAATGGAGCTGGCGGGGGGCAAATCCGAGCTCCTCTCCCCCGAGTGGGGAAATATCACCCCAGCCCCTGGGGCAAACTGGAGAGGATTTAGCAAGCTCCCAGGGAGCGGGAGTTGAGGCCGATTTTGCTCCAGCCCTGGCTTTAGCTCAGCCGATGCAGGGCTGGCTGGTGGGACATCCCAGGCCTCTGCTCTGGAGTCAGGTTAGTCCAGCTCAACGGGCCTTGGAATCTACGCTCAACCTCCGTCCCGTGGGGACTCAGCTCCCAGACCTCAGGGGCGCCCACCCCAGCCCCAGCTGCAGCGGGTCCCCAGCCTCGTTACTTTCTGATGCCAAGTGCAACGGCTGACTCCGGTGGCAGAGCACAAAGCTGGGTGGAGACCCCTGCCCCGCGGACAAGTGCTGGGAGACACCCCCCCCTCCCGGTGGGCCCCGGGGGGGGGGAATCCC